GGGATGTTATGAAAATAATAATAATTAATTATTGAAACTACCGCTAGTATCGAATAATATCGAAAAGACTTCAATTTGACGATGATATGTATTCGAAATGTCAAAGTTGAGGGTGTCCCAACTCGGATAATACCCTTTATGAAAATTCTATGGTCATTTTCTAGTATTACAATGAAAAGAACTGTGACTTAATTATGATTCTACTGACTCTGTCGCTTTCCGTTTACGAAATCCTCATGCACAAACTCAAATTCAAATAGCCCCGTAGCTATAGCTGCCCTTGTGGTAGATTCAGTATTTTTCTCGTAAATACAAGATATATCGACCGAAAGCACAGATGTGTGGCTGAATTTGTGTTGTTTCCTGCAACCGAGTGTTGCCCATTCTTGCACTTGGCTGTATCGTTATCATGAGGCAAATGAGCCAGAAACCCGTGTTTGTGGTTTGCTGTTTTTTTGGAGTGCTTTGTTCACAAGTTTTATTGTTTTAATTTATATCATATACACTCACGAAATCACCATTTGATGAAGATAATCGCAGACTGACAGCTGATTAGGCATTTACGAGGAAAATAAAAGTATTCCATGCTTTGTCAACTATGAAGAGACTTATTCTTTGAGAGAAAATTCAGGCCGCGATAAAGAGCACATCCTCTATGCCTGAGCAGCCGTGAGTTTTCAACGTTTGGCACAATCTCACTCTTCTCAGCTGACCTGGAAGTGAGGAAGTTGAGGAACTGGGTTCAGAAGGTCACAATTGAATAGATATAGACCACAATGAACCCTCGCGAGTTGAAGTAGAGCGTCGAATAAATTCAATCACATACTCGTATTCCTTCAACGTATGCAGTGATGCAAATAGTCCGTTGTTCAATCGTATTCAGCATATACGACAGGATTGTCGTATCTGAAAATGTTTGCTTAATTCATTTTCAACGTTTTATTCATGATCACACACTCACTTTGGAATAACCGCAATGTTTGGTCAACAGTATAGTCGACTTCAATATTCAATAATACCTCCATGGTGATGATATTCAAAAGTTTTCGATTTTTATTCATATTTTTTCATTTATCAAAGGCCTTTTGTTTTGATACATTCGTCTCCTTTCAAGAAAAATATTATGAAATAGCTAATTTCAAGATTTGAAGACAGAATCAGATATTGGTCTTTGAAACATTAAGATGAGTACCTCATAAAATATCGCGCTTATTTGGTAGGTGTAAATTATTGAAAACAACAAGTTAGTAAAAGTTTTATCTTTCTACGCCCGTTTGAAGGTCTTCATTACTGATTTTGATTTTTTCAGATTGTGGAAGGTACCAGAAAAATTCTATGAAAACTTTCAAAACTACCAATATATTGAGATTTCTTCTCAAATGAACGAAACCAGGGAATATAAAATGGTAGAGTATATTCAAGATATCATTCGTTTCTGTAGATTATAAAAAATGACATTTGAGCATTTTATTTTTTTTTGAAGAACGTCAGTTATAAAAATGTACATTTATTCAGAAATGTATGTTTTACGGAACTAGATTTATTCATCATCCCCAACGTGGAGGTTAGAAAAATCTAAAAAAATTGAAGAATATACCTGTTTATAGTCGTAACTTTCACTGAAATAAATTAATTTTAATTTTTCACGATAATGTATCACAAGTGGAGTGGTATCATGAATATATAATGATTACAGTTCACAATCAGAATGAAAATCAGCATATGATCATTTTTAATACTTCCAGACTCTGGTTTATCAAAATGATCTACTTTTATCATCATATACATTCTCTAAGTAATAATTTCAAAAAGCAATATTGCCGCTAAAATTAATTGAACGACGTTTCCCACATCGAATGCCCTGTTGTAATTGTATAAGGCGCTTCATTTTAATCCCAGCGGCTCAAGATAGCTCTAATTCGGTCGAAAGTTGAGGAAATTTCATTGTTAATCCTGCCATGATTCATATTCTGAGAGTGTTACTTTCGACGTGAATTATATTAGTAGAATAAGATGCGGATAGCCCGATTCCTCTCCACTTCAAAGCAATTGGGAAATGAACGAGGGTTATTATTAAAGTGAATGGTACTTGCAGATTGGAACTTTAAAGTGATATCTATAATTCTTGGGAGACTGAAACCAAATCACGAAAGGAATCAGTTCAGAAAATAATGAAAATTTCACCTACCATCCAGTGTATGACTGAGAAGTCATACTTGATGAAAAACCATAATGAAGTATTCAAATGAAATTGAAACGGTTTGAGAATAATGAAAGTGTAAATAGAACAGTTTCAATCAATTAATCCATTTTTACTATCAGTTTATGAAACTCTAAACTTAATTTATTGTATACCATCCTCCGACTGCAATGGACAATCTATTGGATGAACAACAAGAACATCAAAAGATAGAATAAATTCCCATAAAAGTGATTGTAGATGAAGATCATGATTATAAAGAAAGTCATTTTATAAATTTCAATGCCACACAATTATTGACAACAAAACATAATAAATACAAAATATTCTTCTTAGAGATCACAATCACCTTCATGTTATAATGAGAAAACTAATATTAATCATATATATTCCTACCTTTTTGCATTTGGATCAAAAAAAATATGGAACAAGTCCAAACCATACTATTACCCTGTCAATTGTCCGGAAGTATATTTTCAACGTTAGTACAAACAATATTTGAATTGAAGAAATTACACTTCACATCGTGAATCCCATTCAACACAATAAAATCAATGAAATTTGAAAAAGAGTTAGGAAACCTGTCATTCTTTTTTCAATGGATGATCGATAAATAGTTTCCAACTTCGTGTTCTGTGATACTGATTTTTCGGTTCCCCCAACTAGGTGTGTTGGCACCACTGGTTATTTGACCTTGAGAAATTATAACCATCAACTCCAATATGGAATATTCTCGTTATACCGTTATGTGTTTTCAACAATCAGAACTTTCATTGTGATTATTGACTGTATCTGTAGGGAGGAAGGGTTAGTGTAGGCCCACAGCAATTAGGCCACATGTGACCCATTGTACATCCTCCTGAGGAATGATCCTCCTAGGTCATCGTCCATCCTTTCCTTGAAGGTGAACAGGTCACTAGGAGACATCTCCTTTATATCGGCAGGTGTGGGCCAAGATTTGCTGAACACTCACTCTCTTATTGACGATAACTCCGGTAACTCGCATAGGACATGCCTGATAGTTTAATTTCCCTGTTCATACACCCTGCAGCTAGGTGTGTCCACTAGCCCCATATTATGGATGTAGACAGTGGCCAGTCAGAAATCCCACTGTTAAGCATAGATTTTTCCAGGCGGGGCCAGATATTTCTTCGGTGCCAGCTTCCCAGGGTCGTCCAGGGTGATCCTGGCAAAATTGCATCCTTTGATTTCATCTCATCTCTTTACAGATTGAGCATGGGTGTAACGTTTGGCTAGTTCCGCAATTGTCAGTCATCAGGCCGTAGGTGACACTGGGTCATAAAATTCTCAGTCCAGCCGCTTCCTTGGTTGAAGGGTCGGCAATGCGATTATCTTAACTCCTGTCGTGCCCTTTAATCCACCTCAGGATAATGTTATCATCTACCGAGGTTTTGGCCAAATCTCGGTGGCACTCTAGTACTAGCCCTGAGGTAACACGTTGTCTGTTCAAGGCTAAAAGGGCTTGTCTGCTATCAGTGCAGATTGTAATGTTTTTGTCAGAAATTCCTATCCTGGTTATTTCTTTTGTGGCGATTGAAATACCAGCCAGTTCTGCTTGAACCACGCTGTTATTTTTTCCCATTCCCCACTCAACCCTTAATATTAATGATCTGGAGTACACTGCACATCCTGACCCTTCTTTTGTTTTTGAGCTGTCTGTATATATGCGTATTGCATATATATGCCTCTATATATTTAGTTTCATTTGTATTTTGTAGGGTTTATTATTCCTACTTCAAGGTTTATACCAGCCGTGCCCAATCGTAACATGGCCATTAACGCAACCTCCTTAACGTACAGGTCCAGAGGGGTCGTACCAGTAATTATTTCTATTGCCGCGGTTGGTATTGGTATCATGGCTGCTGTGATGTTTAAACAAGCCAATCGCTGTATTTGATATAATTTTTGGATGGTCATTGCTTGTAGAACTTTCGGTCTCCATGCAATGACTCCGTATGTTAACATAGGTCTTATTATTTCAGAGTAGATCCAGGTAACCACACAGGGTGAAATACCCCATGCGCGTCCCACTGTCCTCCGACATTGCTCATAAGCTACATTTTTTTTTGCTCTACTCTGTAGGTTAGAGTTTCATGCTAGCATCCTGTCGAGAATATTACTAAGGTATTTCACCTCTTCAGAGAAGTGTAGTTTGCTTTCGAAGATTTCTGGAGGTTTTGAGCCCTTTTCCTGGTAAAAAGGAACATCTCAGTCTCCTTGGAATTGATCGACAGTGAGTGTTCCTTACACTATGTTTATAATTATTAGAGTCCATCCTGCGCTCTATCGTACATAGTGTTCACAAATTTGCCGGTCTGCATGATAACTATGTCATCTGCATATGCAATCATGTAGAATCTATTATTGTTGAGGTGATTAATCAGGGTATCCAGATTGTTGACTAATATTCTTAAATGCTCATTTTCCTGTTACTAAGATAATACCTATTTGTAAACTTCACCTCAATGTTTTCTTTACATATACGTAATAAATTGTTCACCATTTGGAAACAACCTCACGGACAATATACGTAGTTTTATCATAACTCAAGCGCTATGTCAACAGAACATCTTTATTTTTGTAGTTTCCCTGATGATGACAATGAAACGTATCAAAATATCGATATGAATGTCCTAAGAGTCTCTATGCATGCTGCATAGCAGTAATTTTTTCATTTATAATTAGAATTTAATTTTTTTATTTCATGTTTAAACAGTTTCTGTTTTTGGAACTCCGATATATGAGTAACATTTAATCAATCGCACACCATGACACTTACCCAGAAGATATATCTTCTTTGCTCGGAGTTTTACTGCTTGGATACCTTCTTTTGGGGCTGTTCTCGTCCCTGTGGACAGTTGTGTGATAGGGATAAAGGCAGGTGGAAGGCTGTCTTTTTTTCATTACGAAGCGACTGGATAAAAATTTACTGTAAAAATATATCGATATTAGTTGTATGTATATGTGTATGTACAGAGAGTTATGTAAGAAATGAAATATATGTTTTTTTAAATGTGCTCCATATGGTAAATATATACTCATTCCAACAAATCACTTGTATATGTGAACATATTCTGTCGAATATAATTTTTTTTTCAATCGATACGAAATGGATTATTAGTGAAATATTGATTTGTTTTCGATTTTCCAGATAGAAAACGATACATCTCACTAGATTTTGTCAGTAGCTCTCCGATGTAAAGAGGTTCAACTTTGGGCAAGTAGCTATCAATCTGGCAATGAAGTGTCACTTGAAAGTCCATTAAGTATCAGCCAATCCCATTACATATCCTGAGAAAGCCCCTTTGGGTTTTCTGGCCTTTCGATTCTATATACTAACTTATTCTAGAATGTGCCTCAATGACTAGAAATATTCGGTTTTTCAATGAGTGTATCAGAAACGAAATAAAATCTAAAATTCACCATGCTGAAGACAGAAAACAGAGACATATTAGTTAAGGAACGAGTTGATCATGAAAGAAATTAATAATGGAGATAGAAAATTTCAATATTGCAAGAGGGATATATTGAATGTCTACCTCAAGTTAATAAAACACACATTCCGATGTTTCTGAAAAATTCAATGGCATTATTCATAAAAAAATACTGAGACAGAAGAAAAGACTTGAACAATTAATTTACTTCAGACCTCCTAAGATAAGAAAATGGGTCCAAAGTAAGGAAAACTATTCTCGAACCCTGAGTTTTTCGATAGGTTTTTGAATCCAACCGACACTGTTCACACAAGATAAAATTCAATTATTGGAAAAAGGGCTAAATGTATTGAATCTTTTGGAGCCTCTGGAGACACCCTACATTTTGTTTTATGAGAGAGTGGACATTGGCAGATCAAGATCTTCAGATGATGTGGTGCTGCAGGTTTTTCCGGGTTTTTCTGCAGCTGAAAAAGCAAATGCGCCACTGAAATCAATGAAGTCGCCTCGGAGTGCCAATTAATTTCTATTTTTGTTTTTATTTTTATCGTTGTTTCATAATTTCACAAACAATGAATATAATGATATCAATATTCATAACAATTTAATAATAATTCAGCAAGCATAGACTATTTGGATATGCTGATGATTCAAATCTTGTCTCACCTCTTGACTGCCATATGAATTTGGAAAGGAATATATTGAATGTTGTTTCTACATCTGATTAAAAAAATATGTTTTTCCGTTAATCAGCTGTCACCCCCATACGAACGACAACTCTCAGAAGTTGAGAAATTTGTGCGAGCTAAGGATTAACGAGGTCTTACCTTTTAACGTGTGATTTCTAACATTCTAAACATATTTCAATAAAAAGAAATTCAATTTGAATACAGCCGAAACTAATTGTATAGTCTTCAGAACAGTTGATAACTTCATCAATGTTCCAGAGTTTGTGAACATTGTCGCCCCCATACGAACGACAACTCTCAGAAGTTGAGAAACTTGTGCGAGCTAAGGACTAACGAGGTCTTACCTTCTAACGTGTGATTCCTAACATTCTCAACATATTTCAGTAAAAAGAAATTCAATTTGAATACAGCCGAAACTGATTGTTTCGAAGTTGATAACTTCATCAATATTCCAGAGTTTGTGAACATGGGCCTTGAAAAGTTATATTTTTCATCATGTAAAAAAAGTCAGGGGTCTATCTGGACGACAAATTACTTTCGACGAGCACATTGCTAGCAAGTATTATGCAATAAAAGTTTCAAGAAGTCATTTGAATACAGATGCACTAAAAACGGCATATTATGGAACTATGTTTCCTTTCCTTAAATACGGAGTTGTGTTCTGAGATGGCAGTTCTCACTTGGATCGCATTTTCATTATGCAAAAACGTATAATAATGAAGACTATGCTGAACATAAACTCCACAAACTCTTGTAATATATTTAAAAGTATTCAATTACGTAGTACATATGATGTTTGTGTTATTTTCTTGCATGACAATAAAAAAAATTATCATTCATGAAAATATTTACGAGCACTTTACTAGGCATAACTTGAACCTCATTTTTCCTGAGCATAGACTAAGAAATACAGAAAAAGGTCCAAGCCATGTTGTCTAACATGGAACCATATTCGATGCAAGACATTTTTATGTCAATTTCATGACGCTTTTAGAATACACTAGAAGGATAGATACTAGTATTGGTTGTCAAAATTTCCATAATCCTCACAACTTGTTTGATTGAAGACCTATTTATTTTGTAGAGATTCATATTGAATATAGGATGATTTCTACTGTGTTTTTTATTTGTTATGACCGAATATGGTTTGTTAAACCATTTTCTAGTAAACTGACGCATTTTGACAAACAAGTCTTTAAATATATGATGGTATAGTCAATGTGTACCTGAAATAGGTACCTGGAATAAAAAATGTTACCTGAATTATCAATACCAATACCAAAACAATAACTATTCAACTTTTATAATATACCATAATTATCAACTATCACCAAAAACCCTTCTTGTATGATTTCCCCAACTACCAATGGATCCTAAAGTAGTTGTCAAAATTCACAAATTCAAATGGGGAGAGCTGCATAGTTCTACTTAGTCATTGGAGTTTTTGAAATTGGAGTTTTCATACAATTTATTCATTTCTAATGCTTCCAACAAATTTATCTCCCTTCCTTTGTTGCCATCATGAAAAATTTTCATGTTTTCTTTATTGTATTGTTTGTTTCTTCTAGAAGTCCATATATGGCTGATTTTTTATCTGGACATCTAATCTGTTACACTGGTATAGGTAGGCAGTTGAGCAAGTTGGTGGAATTTTATAATTCCATTCACCAATCAATTGAATAAAACTGATTATTTTTGAAAACTTTGCCACCCTGTATCTCAAAAGTTAAGGCGTTTAGGACATACGTCCATAGGAAGTTTTTTTCTCAAAATGGGTCTAAGAATTACCTCCTTGAATATTAGCATGTGTTTAGGGAACACCCTGTAGATTATATTGTTTGTTTCTTGTAGAAGTCCATATATGGCTGATTTTTTATCTGGACATCTAGTGTGTTACACTGGTATAGGTAGACAGTTGAGCAAGTTTGTGGAATTTATTAATTCCATTCAGCAATCAATTGAATTCACCACTGAAAGGTGGATGTATGATTCAATGAATTTTCTACACGTGACTATTTTCAAAATTAATAATAAAAATGATTTTTTAATTTTCCACAAACCATCTGACATGGACACTGTCGTACATGATTCTTCGACACATTTCCATCAACATAAAGTAGCAACGTTCAAAATTATGCCTCACAAACTATTGATTATTCCACTGTCAGGAAGTAATTTCCAGAAGAAAAACCTATGAAACTAATTGCTGTCAACAAAGGTTACAAGGTAGTTATTATCGATTCCATTCTTTCCAAGAACATCAATCAAAATGAAAATAAGCGTTATAGGACGTTGAGGTACTTTGGTTGACCCATCAATGACATTGCTCGTTTTTTGTAAAGTGAAGAGTTGAACAAATAACAGTTGAAAATTCATTGAATACAATGAAGACAAAACTTTGGTGTCAAGTAGTTCAGGAGTTTTTAGGTGTACTTGAGATTCTTCCTCATAACTTTATATTGGCCGAACGGGAAGAACCTTTTCTTCAAGAATGGAAGATCATAGCATGTGGAGACAAAGTTCACATTCTCGAACTATTTTTCGTAAGTGCGGCATGAGTTCAACCACGACTATGAAGTATTAAGTTAAAAGAAAGGTTTGAAACTCAATCATTTGGAATGCTTAAAAATTATTACATTAAGGAATTGTAAAAATTTACTGAATGACTAAATATAATTGAATTATATTTTTCTTTTGGATTCGTTTTCTGATGTGGAAAGTGGAAATTAGTTTATTACAAATCCATCAATTGAGTTTTATTATGTTCACATTTTTTATTAGTTTATACCTAAACTTAGGTGAAATAAAATAATTAGTTATTAGGTAGATTGAAGATCACATAATTCAAATTGTTATTAGATAAATCACCAATTAGGCAGAATTGAGTGAGTATGAAAACGTTTGTGGAAGCTATTTATATCTCACACTGAAGTGTTGCTTGAACAGTATTACTACTGAGTGAGAATGAACGAAAGGATTTTTTAAAGAACATAGTAACTCACTAACATATTAACGATGTAAGCCTTTTCATTTAAATTCTGACTTTGTCTTCACGATCAATCGTACCTAATTCACCTCGATGCAGAGTGGTCTTTAGCAGCAACTTCGATGAAGTGAATTCAGCAAAGTAGATGAATCGTGAACAAATCTCTGACATAGTACGTGGACTCTGTTTCGACTATGATTTTCTATAATCACCCACTAATTTCAAGAAAAATCCATAAAAATGGGCGATATACGTTTTTCAATATTTTTAGGATACTGGTTATGGTAACCATTGTCTTCTCCTTTCAGATTGGGAATTCTATCATGGATATTTGAGCTATTTGGTATTTCAACTAAACCCTAGACTTCCAAAATAAGTGTGCCTGGGTTGAATTGTTATTTGCCAAAAATCCGAAAAAATAAACATCAATGTCTTTCATTGACATCAGATACCATGGGGAAAAATTTACACGAACTTTGTTCGTGACTTCAAAGTAGATCAACTTTTTTGTATTCATTTTTGTTGAGTGGCGAATTCTAGATGATACGTGGTTTAAATTTCACAAAAGTTAAATTATGTTTCAGAAATAAAAATAATTTTCGAATCATCAATCAGTGTGAAAGCGTTATTAAAATTTTCTAATGAAATTGTTGACATGGAGAGTATCTAAATTGAAATGATGAAAATTCTCATTGTATTGTTTTCTTGATCATACTTTCACAGAAACTAAAATTAAACTGTAACAATACCAACTTGGTTGTGAATTGCAATCTTCTAATGGAAGTAAAGAGTTACACGACTCACGATAGATCGGAACACT